GATTCTGCCGGAAGATCCCATGACACTGTCGAGAAAGCGTGAGTTGCAGATGAGACGATCTGGTTTAGCGCCAAGCCAGCTGAGCTGTTCGCTGAAGCATTCCACTCAGCGCCCAAGCCTCTGATCCCTATAATGAATAGCTTATCAGCTGTTACCGCAGATTTTTTTCACTAAATGGGGTTCGGCGACTTCCTGAGTTACGTATCAGTTGGAACAGAATCCGAGTGTTCCCTGAAGCAGCTACTACTTCCATTTCACTAGCTACTTTTGCCTACCAGTGTTCATTTTCCTGTTTGAGATTCATTCCTGAGTTGACGTCGCAGAAGCCGTCTAACCCTGTTTTCATCATGTCCGGTCGTGATTTATCGTTTTGTATCCATCAGGGATACTGACTCATGAGATATCTAATGCATCCGACGGGCTTGAGGCTCAGACCCACCAGCAACATTCGCTGTAGAACGCACTGTTCGGCTAATCTGATCCCAATGCTCATCTACTATATCACGTTGAGTCTCGCTTATCTCACGCAATAGCTGACTCATAAGGTGCACGAGCTGCTAAAACAGACAGAAAATGATGTGCTGACCGAGTCTGCTCGTTTTGTGGTCGGTCAGTGACTCGGAGTGGACTGCATCAGAATTAATGCGTGGTCAAAGTCAAAGTTTTATTATGGGAAATACTTACAAGCGGTTGCTTTTCTATTCCCATATGGTTTAGCACAGAAGAATCGATTCACAGTTCATACAAAGTGGATGAATATCACAATTTCTCCTTGTTTCGTGCACGGATGTGGAAATTCAAGACTTTTCAGAGCTTCATCCAGTTTGTGCTTGAATGACTCAATTGTGGGGGCAGAAACAAAGTGTGGTGTTAGAGAATTCCAAGTAATGCACACTCTGAGGGTGAATGAATAACGCCGGCATTCTAGTCGGCATTTTTGGAGTACTCATTTGAATGAGTGCCCCCTCAGGTGAGTGTTGAATGACAAGGAAAAGAGTGGACTACATGGGAGATCTGGGTTCTGCATTATTTGATACACCAAGATCAAGTCCCTTCGAAGGGGGGCGATAGTGCGGAGTACAGTTGCAGTGATTCCAGTTTTTTCGCATAACTCTTGGAATGCAGTCCCTTGACCAGACTCAACACAGGTGATCTAATAGGACCATTTGAATTAGCGTGCCAGTTGAACTGGAGCGCCACGTTGCCGTCTGTCAAAAGGAGTGTTGGAAATTGGTACTGGAAGGAACGACTTAATCCGAAGAGTTCGGTGAGTTTCTCGTAAAAATCGTTCTTTTGCATGTCAGAACTGCAAGTGATCGATGTATATACGAATATGATGAACAGACACCTTTTGGCGTTGCTTCCTTTCCGGAAGATAACAGACCTCTGGAGACGCATCGTACATAAACGACCGTTGACAGGAATCCAATCGATAAGAGAGACTTCACTCATGATACTGAGCGCAATACCTATCCCATACTGCCCTACTGAACGGGCTTCGTCGTCGCTTGGTGTAGGAAGGATGTACCTCGAGGACAAATCTGGCGCGCTCAAGTGGTTTCTAGTAGTAGGATTCTGAATTTGAGTCTCCGATACACAGCAAACATTAATTGCTAAGGATTCCATTGTAAGCGCAAGACAAGCTTGTTGACCCACTTGCATCAGAGTCCTCAAGATGAATGACTCCAGTTTCAGGGGATGACGAGGCTTCAGAATCTGCAATCTATTTCGTTGTCAATTAGTTACATTGCTACTTGGCAATGACCTCGGGCGAACAACAACCAAGCTACTTGATGGACTGGTACAGGTCGGAGGAGGGGGTAAAGTGAGTGGGTTAGAACAACGAACTAAACAAAGGTTGGGATATCTGAGCCGTGGCCCACTTATCACTACCCACCCCGCTCGATGCAATGGGCAGCGCGGTCCTAATTATCCTGTGCGACGGCCGATGAAGCATAGAATTCTTTATAGTTTGAAGGAAGGGGGCCGTATGCCATAAGACAAGCTCTATGGACTTGCCGAGGCAGGCAGTAGAAGTATTAGAAAGAAGCAGGTTGACGAGGATCAGATTATGACCACGTATCGAGGTGCTCCTGATTGGAGACCAAAGAATCCACCCAAGGAACGCTTAGACACTGAATGACATAATTGAGTGTCAACAGCGGAACATGTACATCCATTCCGTGCGCATTGATGGTTTACTCGTAATCTAGATCTGATCCTGGAACAGACCTTAATCTTTGGCCTCCTTCGTCATTGATGGACCAAATGGATAACTGATACACAGCAACGAAAACCAGTGTACAGAAGTGTGAGATTAGAGGACAAACACACTGGATTTAATACTGACAACCGCACCGGGCAATCCATTCGGGAAACAAATAGCAGGTAAAATAAAAAGACAAATATCAACACATGACGCAACAAAACATTGATCACAATGCTGTTCCTAGAACTCGTATCCCGTGGATAGCCAACAAAAATTATATTATTGTACTTCGACACAACCGTTGAAGGAAATCACATAATGGTGGAATGTGAAAATGGATATATCCGAAAAATATCAACGTTGAAAATGGGATGAGAAAATGACACTGTTACCAATGCAATCAGTCAAAATGAAAACTGTCAAGGCCTACGATCACAATTGTCTTAATCAGCTATGCATGTCATTGCTATAAGCTCAAAAATGCACTAGTGTAAAAAATGAAGAGAAAAACCGCACGTTGCTATGGGGATAAAAGAAAGGCTGTTTTGACCCAGAAAAAGATTTCCATTCAGATAGTCCATAGTTTGAACAACAACAAAAAAAGACGTGCCTAAACCCTTTTCCGAAACCTTCTTGGATTTGAATTGTGAACTTATTGAATAAGTAAATTGCAATAGATTTAGTCTCAGAATACGATGTCCCTATCCGAAGGTAAATAGCGAAATAGGAAATTACGATTCAAATCAATTATGTCCAATTAAAATGCCGTCTTGGTTAGGATTTTCGAACTCCGAAAAACGGGGACTAGCAATAAAACGAAATATTGGGACCATATTTTCTAAAAACCATGAGCGAGGGCAAAGATACCTCGGAGCGCGATATTAA